AGTTCCTAGGTGTACGACGGAAATGGACGAGTTGCGACGAGCGGACGACGGAAATGGAAACGACGACGGAGCGAAGGAACGACGAGCAACGGCGACAACGAGCAACGACGAGACAACGATTATCGATGAAATTTAACGACAAGATTGACGCGCTTTTACTTTGGGACGTACGACGCCACGTTCGACGTTGCGTCTGTTCTCCTCTCACGTTCTTTGCGTCTGTATTCTTATATTCTTACGTTCTTACGTTCTTCCGTCGTTGCCGAGCCTGCGACTCTTGTTTGCGACGCTCGCGGCAGACTCGTCGAATCTCTGTCCGAGCGACCACCTACGAACGTCCCCGTAGCGACGCCGATCTTCGTTTGTTTTTGCCGCTGGTGGAGCCCAGCGGCAAAACCGGCGCCGAAACTTTTATCCAAGATGGACTCTTGGACGATATCGCCGAGAGACAGATGTCGCTGGCGTGGTTGTCGCTGCGCGAGTCGTTTCGTTCTTCTTTTCTTTTCTTTGCTTTTTCGCCTTTGCACGCGCCGGAATCGCTCGTTTACACGTGCGTGCGCGAACGCGGCGCTTGCGTGCACGCGACAACGGCGAATAACGATAACAAGTTTTACAAGAACATTTTTATTCGTTAAATACCATACCGATAGGTCGCTTTATGATCGAATCGTTGAAATCGCAATCTAATTCGATCGGTTTTACAAGTAGTTTAATCGAATAACTTGTTTCAAATACTTTGATACATCTAGGTTATAGAACTTACGTACGACGAACGTGCAAATTGCATATACGTATACGCGCGGAAGTATACGCGCACGTGATACGGAAAAACCGTAGTACGGTACGTTCTTCGAATACTTGTTACATCTTCCTCGTTTACCAATGTTTTTTCTTTTCTTAATTGATAATCTACATGCCTCGATATAATTGTACGAGTGTTTACCGATACTTTTCTTGTGATGCGTGAGTCGAGTATAGTGTAGTCGAGTATAGTGTAGTCGAGTATATACGTGAATTCGATAACCGCGAATAAGTAAACGACTAAAAGTAGGAGGAAACGTGTCCCGTGTAATTTTGAAACGTTAAAACTTTAGAAAAAATGTTATAAATTAACGTGTTGAAATTTCACTTGCGCGGAACGCCAAAAGCTCTATCTCGTTGCGTGCTATCCTCACAGCCTGTACGTACAATATTTATTTAGTCTATGTACAAGTTGAATTTTATTTCACGAGTCCCTTGGAATGAATAAATTCACGTTGTTGATGACAGAACTTTCTGATTGAATCGTTTGATATTTAAAAATGCGATGTAACTTCGAGAACCTTGCGATTAATTTCGTTTTAATTTCTTTCTCGCTCGTTCGGTCTCCCACAGCCTTTAATCCGAATGCTTGACAATTCGATTACGTTTGTTCTTCGTTTTAGGCATTATCGAACAGTTTGA